GGATGGATTTCAATTCCCAGAATTCCCCATCCAATATGGACTTCATCACCTATAATTCCTCAGGCAACATGGATGGATTTCAATTCCCAGAATTCCCCATCCAATATGGACTTCATCACCTATAATTCCTCAGGCAACATGGATGGATTTCAATTCCCAGAATTCCCCATCCAATATGGACTTCATCACCTGTAATTCCTCAGGTAAAATAGATGGACTTCAACTCCCAGAATTCCCCATCCAATATGGACTTCATCACCTGTAATTCCTCAGGTAAAATAGATGGACTTCAACTCCCAGAATTCCCCATCCAATATGGACTTCATCATCTATAATTCCTCAGGCAACATGGATAGACTTCAACTCCCAGAATTCCCCAGGAAACATAGATGGACTTTTAATTCCCAGAATTCCCTAGCCAACATGGATGGACTTCCAACTCCCAGAATTCTCCAGGCAACATGAATAGATCTCAGCTCCCAGAATCCCCCACCCACTATGGACTTCATTACCTACAATTCCATAGGCAACATGGATGGACTTCAACTCCCAGAATTCCCCAGCCAGCAGGGGTGGACCAACTCCCATTTTTTTCCAGTCAGCACAGATGAACTAACTCCCAGAATTCCCCAGCACGCCCATCCATTCTGGCTGGGGAGTTATGGGAGGTGAAGCGTTCCTCTCTTAAAGTGGCCAGAGAGAAACAGCTCCAGAGTGAATGATTCAAAAAGCCAATTTAAGAGTGATAAAGATGGGGTTTCACAAATCACCGGATGTCAGTCATTTCAGAGAGGTGAAAGAGTGGAGAAAAATCAATTGCCACAAGACTACAACAGTTCATTTAGTGACCGCTCAAAGTTACGACATCACTGAAAAAAGTGACTTGCAAGCGTTTTCACACTGATAATTGTTGTAGCGTCCCCGTAGGTCACATCATTATAATTTGGATGCTTGGCAACTCGTATTTATGACAGTTGCATATTTATGACTCGCAGTGTCCCGGGGTCATGTGGTCCCATTTTGTGACCAGCAAAGTTAATGGGGAATGCAGATTCACTTAGCAACCGAGTTACTAAGTTAACACGGCAGTGGTTCACTTAACTATCAAGGCAAGAAAGGTCGTAAAATGAGGCAAAATTCACTTAACAACTGCATCAAATAGCAACAGAAATGTTGAGCATCATAAGTCGAGGACTACCTGTATATTTTCTGCTCTTAGCAAAGAAAAAAAAACAGCTGTGTATCATCCCTAAAGATTTAAACCAGGTCACCTACCGAGAAATGCAGAGCACAGGTAAATAAACTGATGCTTGAATTTACACCTCGCACAATCCCTTGGCCAAGTTAACACCACAAACCTCTGGATGGCCTCTGGTTGCCCCCTCCCAGAGCAAAGAAGAAAAGGCTGCATTAACTGGCCCTTTTTCGCATTGCTGTTTGAGAAAGTCTTAAATAGGAGGACAACAGGAATAAATTTTAAGAGGGCAAAACTTACCCGGGGTTGCATTTTTGCAAAAAGGGAAGGACTTCCTCAGCCTCCGACATAGAGAATGGACTTCGGCCTGTCCGGTTAAGAACACCAAAATGCCCCCTGCGAAAGGGAAGGAAGGAAGGATGGCATTTTAAATGGGACCACCTAAGGCAGGGGGTCTCAACCTTCCTAATGCCGCGACCCTTTAATACAGTTCCTCATGTTGTGGTGACTCCCAACCATAAAATTATTTTATATTTTCTGTATTTTTTTTTTAAAATATGTGTTTTCCGATGGTCTTAGGCGACCCCTGTGAAAGGGTCGTTCGACCCACAAAGGGGTCCAGACCCACAGGTTGAGAACCGCTGACCTAAGGGAAAGTTGCAAAGACCGTAGAACACCTGTCTCCCCCCAAAATGAAAACCTCCTGCTCCCTTTGCAGAGTATCAAAATGTTTAAATACTGAAAGACCTGGCTGGGGATGATGGGTGTAAGGATCCAGCTTGGGGGGGGGGCAGCTTTGGGGAAGCAGCAGAGAGGAACTTTAAAGGGAATATTTGTAGTTCAGGGTTGATCTGTGCAGTCCTTAGTGCTCTGTGAGTTTGGTTGTTTCTTGCAGACATTTTATGACCCAACTAGATAACATCATCAGTTTTAGAAGGGAGTGCGGTGTGTGAAATAGAAGAGAAGGAAAACAGGAAGAGGATCCTTGGTGCTCTGTGTCAACTCATAAAGTTGCCATGGTGAGAGAAGGGGGGAGGAGCGCATTCCACCCATACCTTCGGCTAGAGTCAGATCTCAGATTACTACAGCAGGCTTGGAGGGGTGCACCACATTGGGGAATGTGATTTATGACACAGACTGAGAGGAGGGAAGGAACAGGGGTAAAGTTCAGCTGTAATTCAAATGAGGCTTCGATCTGACTGCAATACGGTATTACCAAAATGGTGCTCCTAATAAATGACTGGTTTTCTTTTGAAACTTGGCTGGAGGCTAATTAGGGCATCCTTCGGAAACCTGACTCTCTGAGCTTGCTGGTTTGCTTGCAGACATTTCATAGCCCAACTAGGTAACATCATCAGTGGTAGCAGGGTGCAAATCCTACTTCTTTCTAGCACTGGTGGTGTGACCTAGTTGGGTAATGAAACGTCTGCAAGAAAATAACTAAGCTCGGAGAGCACCAAGAATCCCAGAGTTGTCCTCCTCTTTGCAATCCCTACTTCTTTCTAGCACTGATGATGCTACCCAGTTGGGTAATGAAATGTCTGCAAGAAAATAACCAAGCATCAAGATTGGAACTTCACTGCTTCATTGCCAGGGAATTACGTGCTACTAAAACTTGAATGCTTTGCAAAGACAACATTTTCTTGCCTAGGTATCTCTTTAGGCAACTGTTGTTGGTTTTTTTAATCAGCCCCCTGACCTGGAGGAAGCATTCGGTGAATTTTGCAGACTTTCCGGAAACATTCCCCGCTGTAATCTTCCAATGGGGTCCTTTTGTTGAAATGAACAGTGACTGGAAACTGCCTTGCATCCACCTGACAGAGAAAAAAGACCATAGGTAAAACAACAACAACAACAATGTGCTAAATTGCAAGAAGACACTAAAACAATGGTCTGAAGCCCAATTAAATTACCGTATTTTTCAGAGTATAGGATGCTCTGGAATATAAGACGCACCTTAGTTTTTGGGAGGAAAATAATAAGAAAAATTCTGCTTCTGCCTACCACTGTGATGGCGAACCTATGACACGGGTGCCACATGTGGCACGCGGAACCATTTGTTAAGGCACACGAGGCATTGCCCTGTCAGCTCCAACGCACATGATGGCCAGCAGACTTCAGTCTTCATAGCCTCCAGAGAACGAAAAACGGCCCAATGTGCAAACCGGAAGTTCAGGAACAGACTTCCAGGTTGCCTGAAGGGCCATTTTTCGCCCTCCGGAGGCTTCAAGGAACCCTCCTGAAGCCTCTGGGGGGTGGGGAGGTAGTTTTTGCCCTCCCCAGGCTACTAGAAAGCCTCTGGAGCCCGGAGAGGGTGGAAAACGGGTCGATCATGCGCAAAAAGTGGGGGAGGGCAGAGGTCGCACGTGCATGCATGGGAGGGGGGTCGCACATAGAATTATGGGCCCCTGCATGACCCCCTGCACTGCTCCTGCTTTTGGCATTCGCTGGCAAATAGGTTAGCCATCCAGCATCCATGGTATTCAGCTGACACATGGGAACAAGGTCAGCCAATGAGGGCTATTTGGACGCTGAAATATGAGCAACAAGGAGCCTGGCTTAGCCGAGAACTGAAAGTGAAACTGCTTGTGTTTTGCTTGCAGTTACCGCTACCTTGGAAAACCTGCTTTTGGTAATGTATTGTATATTATTATGATTTTGAA